TCACTGCTCACTCTGCATTGTTCTGTCTCATTGCAATGGTAAAATATTGATTTCTAAAGGAGAAAGGCCGAGCAGGGAATAAAAGGGATGTTTCCATTAGCGAGAGAACTCAGCCAGCCTAATAGGCCCAAAACTTTGTCAGAAACGTCAGTGTGAGGTCCCGCTGAGCTGGGGCTCAAAACTGCTCCGCCGTACTGCATAATTTCCAATCCCTCATGCTGCCAATGAGCGATTGCTGCTGGTCTCTGAGCTGTTTGAAACTCAGACGCAGAAAAGGAAGCTCTTGAAAGGGGATGGTGGGGGGAAAAAAGCCCTGATTGGAGTCAGTGTTTCGGGACTTTAATGCTGGATCTGGCCTAACCGATCTTTTTTTCTCTTTTGATTACAGTCGCTTTTCCCAAATGGCCCCGCCGCCGTCTCTGCTCGCATGAGAACAGAGCGAAACCGGGGTTTGCAATGAAGCTGGAGCGCCCTGGGAGCGGGACTGCGTACCCCTCCTGCCAGGGACCCCAGGCTCTTCAGAGGGGCCTGGGTCAGGCCCCCACAGCTGGGGCCTAAAACTCCAGGATGTCTGCATTTAGCTTTGAAAATAAGCTCATGGCAAAGGCTATCTCCGAGCCAGTCCAGCTCCCCTGGCAGCTTCCGCTAAAGACCTGCCTGTCCGTGCATGGGGGCTGTGCGGGGATGCTGCTTGCATTGAGTCTTTGCTCTTCCAGGCGTGCAGGCGGAGGTGTCTGCACTCCGGCCCTGCCTAGCAAGAGCCGGAGGCAGGAGGTGAGGGGGCTGCAGGGACTCGGGCAGGATCGGACTAAGGGTAGGGAGCGCGTTCCTCTGGTGTGTGGCTGCCCCCGGACTCAGCTTTTCCCATTAGCCGGGTAGGCGTCCTGCCCAGAAATCTGCTCCTGCATCAGGGACGTGGAGTACTGGCTGGGACCGCGGGACAAATGCTAGCACGTACCGGGGCACACGCAAAGCACTTCAGTCTGCAAAGGCGGCTGCCAGGCTGGGGGCAGAGCTGGACGCAGCCTGCAGCTGGGTTTTGAATGGTGCCGACCTGAGTGCACAGTGCCCAGGACTCATACGGGACATCCCACAGCCAAGCTAAGCGAGTGGCCTCAACCCACCCGTGCTCCCCACCTCTCTCAACGAGGGATGCCGGCACTGCCTGCCTCTCCCAGGGCTCGAGCTGACGTTCATACCCTGCCGAGGCAACGGAAGATCTTTGTTTCCCCTGTACGGAGAGCACAGGTGAAGGGAAATACCCTTTGCTCGTGGAGCAGGTGAAGGGGGTGCATCCCCTTAGGGAAGACGGCAGTCACATGCATGCACCCATTCAAGACCGAGTCATGAACAAACTGGCTGAGACCTGGGGCTGGGCTGCAAGATGGGAACATGGCACCACAGAGAAGAGGGATCTTCCCAGGCCCCAGTCGTGCTTCTGCATCGCTGCACATAACGCTGAGCCCTGGAAGGGAAGCCAGGGCTGGCCGTTTAGCTGAGGCTACTGGAAAGAGACTCCGAGGGCCTGCAGCCTGTCCAGCAACCAACCCAGAGGGTCTCCCAGCCGCGTCCCTCGTGCTTCCCTGAGAGCAGGATGGAGAGTGCTTCCCGCACGGCCGGCCCCACTCAGCAGTGAAAGCAAATCTGTTCCTGACAAGCTCTCCTGGGAGCTTCCCCTTCCTCAGCCCAGGCGCGACTGCAAGTTACTTATGACTGCACTTGGCAGAGCAGCTCCGGACGCACCGAGCCTGGCCAGGACCCGCCGAGAGGGTGCGAACACCCAGCCCCTTTGCTGCATGACTTCTGAACCCGCCTGGAAGAGCTGCAGAGGTGAAGGCAAACCCGGGCCCAGCCCTCCGTGCCGCTCTCTCAGCTGAAGTGGCAATTGCAGGTTAAATAAAGAAGCAGCAGCTAAAGTTTCTGAGCGAAGCCTGGCTGCCCAATAATAGTATTTAGAGTCTGGCAGTACTACCCTTCCCCTGATGAATAGCACAGCAAGCCTCCTGTTCGCTGTGGGTGTTTGATTCTGAAGGAAACTACTAATTATGGCATTATGCCTTCTGAAAGGCTCCCAGCTCTTGTGCTCCCGCGCGGGCGCCCAACATCGGGGGGAACGGCACTCTCATCTCAGGCAGGTCCTTATTAACCTGCAGCCCCTACCACTGCGCCAGGGCCCCCCTCGAGGGGCAGGTCCCGGAAGACCCGGCACTCTTGGACAGGGACTTTCTGGAGGGAGGACAGCTGATCGTCTGCCTCTTCCAGGGGAGCAACACCAGCTGATTCCCATGCACAACTCATGCTTCCACCTGCGGGCCTTCTCCCTGCTTTCTTCCCCCCCCCCCCCCCCGCCGTGCTCAGTATCTTTCCTTCTTCGCTGCTCTGTAGCTGCTGTCTGCCAGCACGGCATCTCCGCCTCATAAGCGCCTTCAAACAGGTTGTCTAAGCCGTCGGCGCGGGGCAGGAGAGCAGCCCAGGCATGCCCGAGCGGCACAGGCCTCCCGGCATTTTGACTCCCATTAAAAATAACCACGAGGCTGCAGACAGCTGGACGTGCCTCCCTGCATCCCTGTGGAAAGAGGAGCCCTGCATCCTGCGTGGGCAGCAGAGCAGCTGCTCTGAAGTCGGCCCTGCATGGAGAGGGGGAATGAAGGCAGTTGCAGGGAGCCCACGCGGACCCCACCTTCCCACTGCTCTGCAAGGGAGCATTTCCAACACAGCCCTGGGACCGCCTGCCTTGAAACAGGGCCCGAACATGGGACCAAATGGGCCTGAATGTAGGAGCAAATGACCAATTGCAATGGAGCTCCACCCTGGGGCCAAATGGCTCTCACAGGCTCACGAACTGAATGCTGCTCACTTGTGCACAAGTCAAAATGGGAGCAGCAAACGGCTGCCTCGGTGGGTGGCGGTGGCCTTGGCTGGACGCAGGCTGGAAATCTGCAATCACAGGGTGATGGCAGCAGCCAGGAGCCCCTCGTGCAGCCTGGGGCTCCGTGGAGAGGGGCACCGCGCCAACAGGCAGCAAGACGTGCAGTCCCTCTGGTCCTGGCCTGGCTCCGCCGGCAAACTCAATTAAGGCTGGATGCAACATGTGGGTGTTGCAAACAATAGGGCAGAGGAGGCTTGCAGCAATAAGCACACGAATTTGTATGGGCTGACAATACGCACAGCTTGACGGCTCCAAATCACTCGAGATGCCTTTGCTATTTGTTGATGATAAGATATAAATACAGGGAACGGCATCGGCGCTGGCGCATCTTCCCTGGGGTGGAGTGTTGTGGTGAGCAGGGGCGAAGGCAGGCTGCAAGCCAGAAAAGCTCTCCAGAGCATGGGAACAGCTCTTGGTCTACTTGGTGCCCACCCACCTGCCCGCCTGGCCTCGGACAGTCCTTGCCCAGCAGGAGCATGACGGCCGGCTTGCCCTAGGCCAGAGCCCGGGAGTTCCTCTTGTTCGCATACGCAGCAAAAGCAGAAATGACTGCCCAGTTGGGCTTTCCCACCTTGGTGGAAGCTGCTTACTCAGCCCCTGTGGGCAGAGGGACCCTGTGGCCACTTCCCTAAGCGAGCTGTGAGCACACCTGCCCGTGCGTCTACAACAGCAAGGATCTAGCAGCCGTGCAGGCCACGGCCCATCCCCGATGCCCCCGTCCTCGACTACGAAGGGGACTGGTGCCGAAGCGTGCTCACGGCTAGCTCGCTCTACGGCCCTGCAGTTAGCTAGATGGTAGTATGGCCGTACTCGCGGGCTGTACAGACACCGCCTGTGACTGCTGTGCTGCACGCTCCCCCCATCGTGTGCAGTCATCAGGTAGAGCAGAGGCAGGGAGCAGGTCCCGCACGCCTGGGCCCGCAGCAAGTTCCTGCCGGAAGGAGCCCACAGATCCTTGCCTGGCTCCAGTACAAGTGCCTGCGCTGCTCACCCCTCTTAAGAGATGCCAGAAGGAAGGCCTGGGCCTGAGTGGGTTGTGGCGGGGCTGCCCCTGCCTCTGGTCCTCAGACACAGTGCGTGTGCGCACGGGGAGGCGAGGCACTGGGACACTTGCAGATCTCAGTCTTGGGCCTCCCAGGCAGCTGCAAACAGGACCTCGTCCCCTCCCCTCCTCGGTTTCTACTCCAGCATCTCATCCCCGGCTTCTCCCACCTCCACGCTCCTCCTGCCGTGCACAACCTCCCAGGGTGGTTTCCCCTTAGCTCATGACAAGCATCATGTCGCAAGGTGCCAGGCTGGGGATGCTGCTTGTGCATTTCCCCCGCGGTCTTTTGTGCTCTCACCTGGGACGAAGCGGGGGGCACTTGCACGCGTGCTCCCGGGAACAGCGGGTGCAGAGTTTGTGGCCTGGCTGGCTGGGACAAGGCACGGGCATGCCGGAGAGAGGGGCGCTGAGCAGCTGGGCATGGGGGAAGCGAGAGGACCCCAGCCCACTGATGCTGGGGGGGGAGCAGAGCCCCTCCCTCCAGCCTGGGTCACCATGCCCACAG